TCTTTTATAGAGATCATTTAGACCAAAAAAAGAGCAGCTCCTTGACTATATGTTGCCCCCATCAGAAGCTCAAAGAGTGGATAAAACTCTTGTTTTATCATATATTTTTTTGGCTGCAAAAATGGTCATTGGCAATAAAGAGATGTACAATAGAAAATGAACTTCATACTGTCAATCACTCAGGTTCAAAGGAAAGATATTATACGTGCATTTGTTTTCTTGGAAGTATTATAGTACCAGGATGTAGGCTATAGGATGATCCAACAGAATTTTAATTGCAGGTAGTCCAGTAATGGTGATTATGACCACAATTGAGCTCAAAATTTCCAGTGCTAAACAGGATAGTTGTTAAATGAGTTTTTCCCCATTTTACAACCTACCTTGCCACAGTTGTTAAGTGAATCACTGCAGTTGTTGAGTTAGTAACATGTTAAGTGAATATGACATTGACTTTGCTTATTAGAAGGTCGCAAAAAGTGATCACATGACTCCAGAACACTGCAACTGTCATAAATATATGCCAGGTGTCAAGTGTTTGATTTTGGATCATGTGACCATGAGGATGCTGCAACAGTCATAAGTATGAAAAATGGTCACAAGTTACCTTTTTCAGTGCTGTTGTAACTTCGATCAGTCATTACATGAATGGTTATAAGTCAAGGACTACCTGAATATTATTAGAGCAAGTGGGTATGGTGTATTTAGTATTTTTTTCAAGTATTCTTCAGGCATATTTCCATATTGAACTAATGCAGCCATTGCATTATAATTATATCAGTACAAAAATACAGTTAAACTAAATGATATATCTATTAAAACATTAAAATTACACCATGCATATTTGTAAAAATGAAAAGATAGTGTCCAGGCATGAAAATGATAATCTTCTCACACTACTGAAGAGTGATCTGTAACTTGGATATTGTCATCAAGAAGGCCCAAACTTTAGTAGTGGGGCAAGTTAAGGCAGCCTTTCATGTGGACGTTCATCCTCATCTTATAAAATAAAAGCTAAGCAACTTATTTGATTTGGCCTGAAAACTTATTGAAAAATACTGCAAAGCAGAAGTAATAACTAGCAGTTCTAAAGCTCATGGCATGTATAGTTATGAACAGGTCTATTTAAAATTGCTTTTAAAATTTCCAATTAAATGAACCAACTAATCTGTGATCTTTCCCATTCCTCTAGATTGGTGTCAAACTGGCGGCTCCAGAAAGGCAAAAAAATGTCACGATACATCACGTGACGTGATCGAATTTGACACCTGTGCTCTAGAATGTCTGGACCTCTGTTGTTTTTAGTTTTGGTTCCAAGGTGTTTGGGAGTCTTAAATTTAATTCAGCCTCTATGGTTCATCCAAAACCTGCATCAATATAGCTTCAAGTAGGAGTGGGAAGTTAGGAGACAGCTATAACAAATATTCCCTTATACAGGCATTATGTTATTTGCACTTCTCTTGGTCCAGCTTCCTAAACTTTACATGCTTGTGTTCTTTTAATATAAAATCCACGATGTCGTGATTCTTTTGCACAGATTTTATGATGTCGTGATATCTTTGCATAATTTATGTGTGGGAAGCATAATGAACAAAAGAAAGATAAGGTGCGAAGTCTGAAGGTGTTCTGTTACACTGGGAATGAAAAAGACATTTTTAAAAATTCACATTTGTGTCATTTTTGTAACAGTTTTTTTTGGGGGGGGCTTCTCTTAATGTAGTGTATTGTGCTGACATTAGCTTGCAGGGTCTGCACACTTACCTTCTTTGTTCTTACTAAAATATGAGATAGCATATATTAGACACCATTAGCTTTCACTTCTAGGGATTTCAGTAGCTTCTAAATTTGGCACTGCTAAGCTGATGCTCTGTTGCTTGAATCAATCGGGGCTGCTATTTTTAGCAAGAAAGAATTGAAATAGCAATTTGCTTTCCATGTAATAGATCCCAAGAGGAATATTGATGCAAGCTCTCTGTCATTGCATATATTTCCCCTCCCCAAAAGTACCCAGACAAAAGACAGCTGTCAAAGCTTACTGCAGCATTAATATTTAATCAATCAAATGTTTGTGCATTAAGTGTTCAAGGGGCAAAAAGGCATGAGCTGAAACAGTTTCAAGTAACTAAGCAGTTTGTATAATGCAGGTAGAGGGCAAACTTCAAGTATTCCTATAATGTGCTTTTTGATTTTGATTTTTTAAATTCAGTAGGCTAAAACCGTGCATAATATTTTAACCAGCTCAAGCTAATTTTTCAAAATTCATTTATGACTGTAGAGAACCTTGTAGTAATACAGGTCAAGTGCCAGCATTAAGTTATATGTGGAGTGCCGCAGGGATCGGTCCTCTCGCCCCTTCTGTTCAACATTTATGTGAAGCCGCTGGGCGAGATCATCCGTGGCTTCGGGGTGAGATACCACCAGTACGCTGATGACACCCACCTGTACATCTCCACCCCAGGCCACCCCAATGATGCCCTTGAAGTGATATCCCAGTGCCTGGAGGCTGTGCGGATCTGGATGGGGAGGAACAGGCTCAAGCTCAACCCTTCCAAGACTGAGTGGCTGTGGCTCCCGGCATCCCGATATAGTCAGTTGACTCCATCACTGACTATTGGGGGCGAGTCTTTGGCCCCCACAGAAAGGGCTCGCAATCTGGGAGTCCTCCTGGATATGCAGCTGTCCTTGGAGGAACATCTGACAGCTGTAACCAGGGGGACATTTTGTCAGGTTCGCCTGATTCGCCAGTTGCGGCCCTTTCTTGATCGGGATTCCGTGTGCACAGTCACTCATGCCCTCGTCACCTCTCGCCTTGACTACTGCAGCGCTCTCTACATGGGGCTCCCCTTGAAGAGCACCCGGAGGCTCCAACTGGTCCAGAATGCAGCAGCGCTGGTAGTGACGGGAGCAGCATGGCGCTCCCATGTAACACTGCTCCTGCGCGAGCTGCACTGGCTTCCAGTGGTCTTCCGGGTGCGCTTCAAGGTGTTGGTTATCACCCTTAAAGCGCTCCATGGCATCGGGCCTAGCTATCTTCGAAACCACCTGCTACTACTGACGACCTCCCATCGTTCCGTGCGCTCCCACAGAGAGGGCCTCCTCAGGGTGCCATCAGCCAAACAATGTAGGCTGGTGACCCCCAGGGGCAGGGCCTTCTCTGTGGGGGCACTTACCCTCTGGAATCAGTTGCCCCCAGAGTTAAGGAGAATCCAAGACCTTAGTGCCTTCCGCCGTGCCCTTAAAACCCACTTTTTCTAGCAAGCCGGGCTGGCTTAAGAAGAAATTTTAAATGTTTTAATTGGTTTGTATTTTTAGTTTTGGGCCAAATTTATATATATTTTAATTGTTTTTTAATATTTGTATTTCATGTTTTTTAATTCTGGCTGTACACCGCCCTGAGTCCTCAGGGAGAAGGGCGGTATATAAATTTATAAAGAAAGAAAGAAAGAAAGAAAGAAAGAAAGAAAGAAAGAAAGAAAGAAAGAAAGAAAGAAAGAAAGAAAGAAAGAAAGAAAGAAAGAAAGAAAGAAAGAAAGAAAGGCATTTTCCTTGCTTTCCAGTGAAGGACTTCAGTTTAACGTTAACGGTGATTTGTGGAGGAAATATTGGGATATTTGTTGTTGTTATTACTCTGGTTTGTTGTCCAATCAACCAGATGTTTAGACTGGATTTGGCATTTTTTAGCCACATGTTGAATCCTTCCTAAGGCAGATGTTGTTTGATGGTATTAAAGGTATTGCAGGATGTAAGCTGTTCTGAGCAAAGCTGCCTTTACTAATTGTGATTTTGTCAATGCTGATGGTGTTCAAGTGATGCTCCAGATGTTTTGGGATTGCACCCAAGGTGCCTATTACTGTTAGTACGATCTTTGTTTCTTCTCCTACAATTGTTCTCTTTGCAGGTCTTTGTATTTTGTGATTTTCTCCAGTTCTTTCTCTTCTACTTTGCCGTCTCTAGCTACTGCCACATCCGCTATCCATTCCTTTTTGTCTTTCTTATCAACAATTGTTAGGTCTATGAGGCAGGTGTTTGAATTCTAAAGTCCCAGACATATCTGGACTTAGGTTGCCATTACTCTGTTTCTTCGTTCAACAGTGATAGTACTCTTTAAGGTTCCGAGGTTTTAAAACATATATTGGAGCCAAGCTATCACCAAAGCTGGTTCTGTTTTGGTTTGTCGCATGGTCCAAGGCCCAGTTAAAATAGTATACCAGTGATCTACATTTTAAACCTCCTAAAAAGATACAGGCCGGGTAGGTCAGATTGCTTTTTCTATTGTGAAATAATGGTGACTGGTAATTTGTGTTAGGGTTATACAGGAATTTGTTATTTCATGTTAACTTATAATGGAATCGTTTGCATCTGGATATTGTTAATTCATTCACAATAGTCTCGAATTCTAATTTTTAGGGAGATGATAAAAAATGTTTTTTATTATTTTTAATTACAGGTAATATCTATAGTTTATTTGCAACCATAATTGGAACCAAAACTACCAATGCTAAGCAATTCAGTCATTAAGTTAGTGACACCTGGTTTTACTATCATTTTGCTGTGATTATTAAGTGAATTGCTGTAGTCATTGAACGAATCATGCAGGCACTGAGCAACTTTGGCTTCCCCCATTGACTTTGCATGTGAGAAGCCACCTGGGAAGGTTGCAAATGACGGTCACATGACATCAGGATTATGCAATTATCATAAATAAATGCCAGTTTCCACGTGCCCAAATTTTGCACACAGGGATGCTGCAATGGTCATAAATTCAAGGACTGATCATAAATCACTTTTCAGTACTGTCATAACTTGGGTACATAAGTTAAATGAATGGTTGTAAGTTGAGGACTATCTGTACAATGCTTCAATTGGGGGGAAATTAAAGAGTCCTTAAAGGCCCCTTTGTAATGAGAATATTAATATCTAGTGTTTATTTATGATATTCTGTACTTTGGAAATTTTAATTCACTCTCATAATTCTATTTTCTTCTCTGCTCTTTATTTTATAGTTGTCACAGGAGCCACAGATGGAATTGGAAAGGCTTATGCAGAAGCGGTAAGTTTTAAGTTTGTATACCTCAGCCCCATCCCAAATACTGATTCTATGTATTCTTTTAGTGCTGATCTGTTTTGGAATTGTTTGCCTTTATAAAAGTAATTCAAGAATAAATATTTTCTTCATATATATTAAGGAACCACAAAATATATTTAAAAGTTACAAATAAATTCATTTTGGATTAGAATGAATATTTCTACACTCAGGGACTGCTTATACATAGCTTGAATTCCAAGAATGTTCTTTTCACACACTACATGGGTACACTACATGGGTACACAATCTTTCTTCCTTGTCTTCATTTTTGACAGTTTCTTTTTGCATTCATCCCTAACACATCTTTACATTCATTCCATAATTCCTCTGGTTCTCTATCAATGAGTTTCAGGGCTTCAAAGCCCTGATCTTCTCCTTGAAACTAGTGGGTATATGTTCAAGATTGTATCATGGAAATTGACAAGCTTTCTTCTTTTTCTTAGCAGAGATTGGCTAAATTAGTCTCCTGCTTTGGTTTCCTAAACTATATACCGTATTTTCCGGCGTATAAGACGACTGGGCGTATAAGACGACCCCCAACTTTTCCTGTTAAAATATAGGGTTTGGGCTATACTCGCCATATAAGACTGTCCCTCTTCCAATGCACACCAAATAAAAATTAAAAAACATCAACTGGCTCACCTACAATGTAAAAGCAGCTGTGCTAGACCCAAAATGGCCCCTGTAACAAGCAGGAACCTCACACAGCCACAAAAAGCCCCCCAAAAAAACTTTCACACTCTAAACACACACAACACAACACAACTGGCTCACCCACAATGTAAAAGCAGCTGTGCTAGACCCAAAATGGCCCCTGCAACAAGCAGGAACCTCACACAGCCACAAAAAGTCCAAAAAACCAACTTTCACACTTTACACACACAAAATTCCACATACAGCTTTGTGAGATTTTGTGTGTTTGTGTAGTTAGAGTGAAACACTACAGAAACACACTAAATCTCAGAAAGCTGCACAAATATTATTTTATTTTATTTTATTTTTATTTTTATATGAAAGCTAAATTTAAAACTTCCTAAACTTTAAATGGCTAGGTCTAAAAAAGAACAACTAAAAAAACCTCAATTGACTATTTTTTTTAAAGCTCCCAAAAGGGAAAAAAACTTACCCAATAGAACAGGGGTCTCCAACCTTGGCAACTTTAAGACTTGTAGACTTCAACTCCCAGAATTCCTCAGCCAGCTTTGCTTTGCTGGCTGAGGAATTCTGGGAGTTGAAGTCCACAACTCACTCCTTGCTTGATTGCAGGCAGGGAGTTGCTTGCTTGCCTGAATAGATTCAGGCAAGCAAAGCAAGGCAAGCGTTGCGACTAGCAGCTGAGGTAAGCAAGCTGGAGGGGGAAAACTTTTTCCCTTTTACATGGCTCTGGCCATCCCAGCTGAGTTGCAGGGAACTCAGCTGGGATCGTCAGAGCTGGGATCCTCAGAGTAAAAGGGAAAAAACTTTTTTCCTTTTACATGGTTTCTGGCGATCCCAGCTGAGATGCAGGGAACTCAGCTGGGATCGCCAGAGCTGGGATCGCCAGAGCTGGGATCGCCAGAGCCATTTAAGGCTCATCAGAGCCTTTCGGGCTGGTCTGCCTGGTTACAGGAGAACGACACCCGGCGTATAAGACGACCCCCGACTTTTGAGAAGATTTTCATGTGTTAAAAAGTCGTCTTATACGCCGGAAAATATGGTAATCGGCCACATTTTCCCCTTTAATATTTCTAACTTTGGCATTTCAGTCTTCAGTCACAAGTACCACATCTTCCTTGCACGTTCTGTTGATTTCAAATGGAATTTGATCATAAAACACAACCTCTTCTCCTACTTTGGTGATCAGAGCATATATGCAAATGATTGTCATATTAAAGGATTGTTCACCATATCTGATCAATATTATTTGGTCATTGATTTGCATTGTAGCCAAGTACTGTTATTACTATACTCTTACAACCTATAAAAACAACACTGTTTCTTCTTTATTTTTCATTTTTGAGTAGTAAACAGTGTGAACTTCTGAATGAAATGTGCAATCTGGATCCATCACAATTCACTAATGCCTTAGATATCAATTTATAGTTTTTTCATCTTTCACTCTTTCTTTGCAGCCATCAATTTTCTTTTCCTCTGTGGCAGCATCAGCAACTAAATGTCCCAAAGACTTAATCTAGCTATCATAAACACTATTAGCGTACTCCAAAAGATCTTCAGCATCTCTTCAGTAGCTTTTTTTTTTAAATTAGATTTATATGCCGCCCTTCTCCAGAGACTCAGGGCAGCTTACAATGCGTTAAGCAATAGCCTTCATACTTTTGTATATTTTATACAAAGTCAGCTTATTGCCCCCACAAACTGGGTCCTCAATTTACCTACCTTAGAAAGGATGAAAGGATGAGTCAACCTTGAGCCTGGGGAGATTCGAACTTGCAATAATTGCAGACAGCTGAATGTTAATAACAGGCTTTTAGTCTGTTGAGCTATCCAGGCTCCTGTTCTTCAGTAGCTTTTTGAATGCCATCTGACCTGAGAGGCTCATTATGTCCTCAGTCATTTGATATTTTCCATCCATGTGGGTTTTTTTGGTAAAAATACAGGAGTGGTATCATCACTAAAGTGATTGTGGAGACAGATGTTTTATATATAGCTGCTGTCCAGTATAAATGTCTGCTTGCTTTACCTGAGCAGCTGGGAGGATCCTTCACACCTTAGATGATCCTGTTGGGAATATATATTCTTGGCGTACACTCCTGACGTTCTCCACTCATCCTTCCCAGAACAGTCTCTCTCCCCCATCCAAATTTGAAACTAAGGATATATCATAAGAGTGTTGTAGGTCAGTTACCTACATTCTGACTTACAATGGGGCATTAGAGTTTTTACTTACAATCTTTTTTACTTAAATGAATTTTACATTCCATAATTTTACATTCCATTTCAAAACTGTCAAAACATAATGACAGTTTTGAAATTAATTACTGGTATGTCTTAATGTTTTGTGTTTGTATTAGCATAGTATGCTGCCAAGATGTGCTAATCAGACCACATGTAGAAATTGATACTTGAATGGTAATTCAATTTTAATAGTAGTAACTTATTTTATACTTGTAACTCAGCTCATTATAGAATACAGAGAGTAAATTCTCATTGGGCAAGTGAAGTTTTCCATAGTTGCAAGATAAAAATCTCCAGTTATACCAATTCCTATACTGCTTTAAAAAGTCCAGCCTGCTTATGTCTTCTTTCTCACCTGATAATGCATCAGTTCCAGTGGCCTTCAGACATTTCTGCCATACATAGATTTGAAAAGGAAAATCCCAACTAAAGAAAAACAAGAAATACAGCACTATCAAACTCCAGTTATTGGATTTTTCTTGGTGCCAAATGTTCCATTTAACTTCTCAATTAAGCTAATTGTTTGGAGAAGGTAAGGGTCTGAAATGAGAATATTCCATACCGTGGGTGGCTTATAACTTCTCCATTGCCCTTTACAAAAAAGTAATTGCTATATCTATCATGATTCCAACAGCTATCCTATCCTGATAAATAACTCAATCAAGACTTGATTTACCACTTTGCGCTAATCCAGATTAACCTCCACCCATTCATCAATTTAATCTAAAAGCTTGCCTAACTCCAAATGAGTCCAGGCTCTGTGTAGAACATTCAAATCAATAAAACCAAAAAATGGATAGGGTGGAAGCAGTATGTTCTGGAAGAAAATGTTCTGCTAACATATATAATTGTGAAAAGTGCTTCCCAACGACCTGAGGAAACGTTGGGCTTTCAGATGTATTTTTTTTTTTAAAAAAATGGGTGATGACGTAGTCCACAGTACATATTGCTTTCTCCAGAGTGATTGAAGTTGACAGACCCCCGGATGTCTACTGCCACTCTCTGGACTGGCCAGCTACAAAGGTGCCTTTACTCCATCCTTGCTGTTTCCCATTCTCTGATAAACATTAGAGGTTTTTATTCATTTTATCACATCCCAACAATATCAAGTCCTGTAAAAAAATTGCTTATTCTATATCTGCCTGCTTCATGAGTCCATTTGAATGTGGTTATGAAACTAAGCATAGCTAACTGTCTCTAGGGCTTACAATATCCTTATAGACATATTCCTGACATAGCAGTTTTCTTTTGATGAATCTGGAGTTCTGAACTTTGCTGAGGAGTTGAAAGTTGTGTTTAGATTTTATATCATAAGCCTGAATAAAACGTTAAGATGAAACTCCGTTTTCTAGATTGTGTGGAGAAGAACCCTAGGTTTGTTTCAGCTGCACTCAGTGTAAAAAGAAATTAAAAACATTGACACAATTTTCTAGCTAAACTTTTACCTACTTCTATAAAAAAAAAAATAGCAATCTCCAAATCAGAAATTCCCGTGTTTCATATACCTAAACCTCTTTCAGTTTTTTTAAATAGGAGAATTCATTTCAGTAAGGTGTTGCTTAGCGTGCGGCCCTCCCGAGCTCCGTTTTTGCTGGCAGAGGGTTGCAGGAGGCCATTCCAACAGAAAATGGAGATTGGGAGCCCGTTTTTGCTGGCAGAGGCACTGCGGGCCGGTCCTTCGTTGTTTCGCCATACCCCCTTTTTGCGGGTATGTCATAATTTTAAATGGCTGCTAAGCAATCTGTTATAAGTCAAAGACTATCTGTATAAAAAATGCTCTTTTTTCCTATTTGACACACTTATTTGGAATTAGGTGGGTACTAAAGTTTTCTTCTGGCAGAATCTTTGGATTCAACCCCACACTTGCAATTCTTAATAATGATTCTCAGCTTGTACAGAATTGGAATTAATCTTTTTGTATTTTTTATTTTATTTTCTCAGTTAGCAAAAAGAGGAATGAAAGTGGTTCTTATTAGCAGATCTCAGGAAAAACTGGATAAAACTGCCAGTGAAATAGGTGAGTATTTTTCTTGGTTATTTAGTTTTTATGAAATCAGTACTGGGGCCTGATAGCTCAGCAGACTAAAAACATTGTGATTAACACCAGCTGTCTGCAATTACTGTAAATTCGAATCTCACCAGGCTCAAGGTTGACTCAGCCTTCCATCCTTTCTAAGGTAGGTTAAATGAGGACCCAGTTTGTGGGGCAATAAGCTGACTTTGTATAAATATACAAAAGTATGAAAGCTATTGCTTAACGCATTGTAAGCCACCCTGAGTCTCCAGAGAAGGGCGGCATATAAATTAAATAAAAAAATAAAAAATAAAAATTCTTTGTCACCACAAGATGGAGCTGAAAGAAAGAGCTACCTCCACCTCTTTTGGCTAGAAGGCAGGAGTTAGTCATTTACCAGTCACAGTCAGGAAGGGTGGGGCAAGAGGGCAATCTCTACCCGGGTTAGGTAGTTCTTTTGTGGTAGCTTCCTCCTGCTAGTCACATCCCAGAGGTTCCTCCCTCAGATGATGGTGATGGCTAAGTTACAGGCACCAGAGCAGTGGTGGGATTCAAGTAATTTAACAACCGGTTCTCTGCCCTAATGATTTCTTCCAACAACCAGTTTGCCAAACTGCTCAGAAAGTTAACAACTGGTTCTCCCGAAGTGGTGCGAACTGGCTGAATCCCACCACTGCACCAGAGACAGAACTATATTGTACCCCAGTGGCCTTTTTTCTCCTACAGTGAAGTGGTCCCAAGCAGACTGTGCCATGACTCAGGCAGCCTGGGTGATGTTTACATTTATTTAAGATTTCTTTTGTTTTGCCTTTGTTATTTTTATAGATAACTCAAGGTGGCAAACATACCTAATACAGGTAGTTCTTGACTTAACAACAATAATTGACCTTGGAATTAGGATTGGCAGTCAATCATAATTTAATGGCCAGATTAAATTCTTTACATTTTGTGTGACAGTCGTTAAGCAAATCCATTTTCCCTATTGGGCACTTTTTGCCAAGTAAAATGCCAGAAACCTGTAAAAAAAGTTGCAAATCATGGTCATGTGACCATGGGACACCGCAAACAGCTGTAAAGTTCTGCCAAGTACTCAGAATGCGATCACATGAACATGGGTGGCCATTGTAACTTTGAAAATGAGTTGTAAGTACTTCTGAAGAGATTTGTCATAACTTCTAATTGTCGTTCAGTGTCCAGCTGTAAGTTTAGGACTACCAGTAGTATGTTCCATTTTTATTTACCAATTTTTATTTACCACATGCATTTTACAATTTAAGAAGAGTCAGATGTACATGTAGTCCTCAATTTACGACCACAATTGAGCCCAAAATTTATGTTGTTAAGTGAGAAATTTGTTAAGTGAGTTTTGCTCCATTTTATGACTTTTCTTGCCACATTTGTTAAGCAAATCACTGCAGTCATTAAATTAGTAACACAATTGTTAAGTGAATGTGGCTTCCCCCTTGACTTTGTTCGTCAGAGGGTTGCAAAAGATGACCACATGACTCTGGGACACTGCAACCGTCATAAATGTGAGTCAGTTGTCAAGTATCTGAATGTAAATCATGTGCCCATGGGGATGCTGCAATGGTCATAAGTGTGAAAAGCTGTCATAAATCAATTTTTTCAGTGATGATGTAACTTTAAACAGTCACTAAAGGAAGTGTTGTAGGTAGATAGATAGTCTAGGACAGTGGTTCTCAACCTTCCTAATGCTGCGACCCTTTAATACAGTTCCTCATGTTGTGGTGACCCCCAACCATAAAATTATTCCTAAAATCATTGATAATACATGTTTTCCGATAGTCTTAGGCGACCCCTGTGAAAGGGTCATTCGACCCCCAAAGGGGTCCCGACCCATAGGTTGAGAACCACTGGTCTAGGACCACCTGTATTTGAATTGAAGTGATTGTCTAGATTTTGTTTCTTTACAGTGATATTTCTGTGCTGTCTTAAATTCTGTATGGAGAAGTATAGTGTAAATAAAATGGTATTTGGTATTTGGTTACATTTGTCACAGGTATTTATTTTATTAATTAATTAATTAATTAATTAATTAATTAATTAATTCATTCATTCATTCATTCATTCATATTTCTATGCCGCCCACTCTCCAAGGACTCTGGGCGGCTTACACCAAAGACAGTATACTAAATAGCATATTGCCCTCAACAATCTGGGTCTTCATTTTACCCACCTCGGAAGGATGCTGAGTCAACCTTGAGCCGGTGAGATTTGATCCGCTGATCTGCTGAACTAGCAGACAGCTGAAGTAGCTGCAGTACTGCACTCTAACCACTGTGCCACCTCCGTAGCCCCACATAAAGCTTTTTATAGTTATCCAGTTTGGATGCCACTTCATTCTTCTCATGGCAATATCAGTTAAAACTATAGGAGTAAAAGTCCAACACATTTGGGAAATACAAGTTTGCACAAGTGTATGGATAAGAAGCAAGATCACTTTTCTGACAAAGACAGAATCAGCCTAAAATGATTTCAAAAACTCAACAATGAGACACTTTTAGACATGATTATCTGGGCTTCCATAGAATCTGGAAGAACTGCAAAACGGTGCATTTACAGCTGAAAGAGCAATACAGTACTGTTCGTACTTGATTTAGAGTAGTTGGCTTTCCAATGCACAGTATCTCTGAATTATCAGAGTTTTTATGTCAAAACTCTTTCTAGATGCAGCTTCAGAAATCAGCTATTATAAAAAAAAAAAAAAAAGTTAAACAGATTACTAAAATCACCATATGCATCCAAGGTTCAAAACAAAGCTTAGCTATCCACAAAAGTGTGCATGCGGTACAATTCATACAGGAACCTCTGGGCAGGTGTCTGCCTTTCAACAAAGCTAAAAATAGTCCTCATTATCATAAGCATGAGGAACACACTCAGACATGAGCAGCATCATGACAACCTTGTGGAAGAAGTTTAAAATGAATATAATCTTCCTCGTGCTATATCATTCAAATTTCTGAAAGGTTCTTTAGTAAGATTAATTAATTAACTACTGCTCTTTTGCAGTAGTTGAAAAGATAGGGGATTTACCCCCTTCCCCTCCTTATATTGATAAAACATTGATTATAAAAACAGCTGTTTTCCAAGCAGAAGGCTCCCTTTCTACCAGATCATCTTGGGTGTCATTGGACATATTTGATGTCATTCTAGTGGCATAACAAAACTCCCGAGCCCTTTCGTTTCCACCAGTGATTTCAAAGGGTAGAGGTCAGGCGCAAGCAACCAGAGCAATTCATAAATAGCTTAAGTGAGCAAATATATTGACTTTTACCTATGTTACAAGAATCTCCCCATATTGATTGTCTTCCCCTGAGAAGGACCAGATAAAGCTCTATGGATCTTGGGGGAGGTCAAACTTATGCTGCTTGCAGCTGCGCAACGATTCCAGGGTGAGTCCCCACTTGACTCCTGCTTCGAGCCTAGCTGGCAGTTTGCCAGCACTAGAACAATACTGTACAAACCACAGTCTAGTGGTATAAATTAAACATATTGTAATATCAATAATTAAGCATGGTTCCCTACTTTTCAACTCCATCATATCCTGGGCAGTATGTTTTCTGTGTATTTTTAAACAATTCCTGGAATCCAATTTTTGCTTACAGAAGAAAAATGTGCCAGTGGTATGAAAGGCTAGGAGGAAAAATACTTCAAGGCAGCATAAGGTTAATTAAGCTTGATGTTTCCACAAGGAAAGACAACTACTTCACATGGAAGAAGTCGATTTAAAAAAACTAAACAGATCTGTTCTTCCAGTACAGTAAAGTCTAAGGCGATGCCTCCCAAACCTTTTATTACCCAAACTGCTTACCAGAAAGTCCTTTTCCCCCCACTTATTAGAAACTCCTTACTTGAATGTCCCCTTTGTGTTTGGATAATGGGTTTGTGTGTCATTACGCAAAGAAAAACCATTTTTACCTAATTTTGGGTAGTTTATGTTTGGGAATCACTGGTCTAAGATGTTCATAAGACATTCCGATGGTTTTGCTCCAAGATATGTTCTGTAAATTTTGTGCAGTTATAATGCAGAATTTGGATAGAGAATACCTGTGGAAATTAGAGTATTTTTTTTTATATTTAGAGCAAGAAATCAAATGTGTCGTATTGATATTATAATGTAACTCATATGGATATGCAGACAAGGCAGTAAAGTATATGGATATGCAGGAGGGTATGTGGTTGTTAAAGACTGCTCAACAAAGTTTTTTATACAGAGAAATTCAAATAGCTAAATCACTCACATAAATTACTCTTAATAGAAGAACACTGAAGAAGTAAAAAGACTCAAGTTGCCAGTGTTTTTGTTTGCTAAAAGACAAGTGGTTTGTTCGATTCCATATTACTTTATGGCTTTGCTTTTGTGTTGATTTATCTGCCACCATCTGGGTAGCTGCCTAGAGTTGCCTTTATGATCTAGGTGTCATACAAGTTTATTAAATAAGTAAATGATCGATGCCTTTTGGATATGATTATATACAAAGACATGAAGACTACCTAAAAGTAAGGTAGTATTCCATACTGCAGTAATTTGGTGCAAAATATTGTTCACAGAAAATATAGAGTAACTTTTGCTTTCCTGATTTAAACAAATGCTGAAACATAAGTAAATAGATGATTGAATACAACATGCATATTTGATAGTATTGGAGTTTACCCATCCATGAACTTGTTTTTATTTGTAGAAAAAATCAGGTTCCTGTAAATGTTCCCTGTTGGAGGAAATAGGTAATGATTTTTTCTGAACTCCCTCCAATCTGTTCCTAAAGTCACAGGTGGGGACTTAATGGGAATCAGAGGGGGGAAAGGTGATAAGAAAAAACTACTATAGAAATTATATTGAGCACACTTCTGGATTCAGCCAATTCTAATGTATCACAGAAGTTTCCCCTTGGATAGTATTTTTTTTTCTTTGTGACCTTAATCTTGAATTATAGAACTATCTTCAAACTACAGAAATAAACTATTATGTAATGCTTTCTCTT